GGATTCAGAAAACAACTCTGAAAAATATTTGATACACAGTGACTTTTGTTGAAGACTCACGACGGGATAACCAAGTGTGTATACACTCATAGACAAAACTTAAGGAAGCTGTACCTTTTAGCATGTATATCGGAATTCAGAAAATAACTCTGAAAGATATTTGATACACAGTGAACTTTATTGAAGACACAACGTGATAACCAAGTATGAACCAAATTACCTCTGTCTCTTCAAAACAAAAAACAACAAAAAAAAAAAAACCAGACGATCTCGGTGACATCAAATACTTTCCACTTCCTTAAGTTTTGCTCAGAGTGTATATATATTTAGTACTCTCATCGGTGTATGAATAAGAGAAAATCTTGTACATCTTTTACAATTGTTACGTTGAGGGGAATACGAGGTGCCAATATTTGTCCCTTCCCCTGTAACAATACTGTACTACCCATCCTATCCTGTAAGTACACCATAATTCTACACATGTAGAAGCAATTTCAATGTGTAGGTAAAAGTTATGAGGAGCTATTTTGGCTACTACCTTTTTTGTTTATCCCTAGTATACGTGGTACAGGCCATGATAATCATGGTGGGTAGAAGTAGGCGACCGCTTTTATACTGTAAGTGCACCACATGCCTACACATGTGAAAAGCAGTTCGACTTTGCACTTACAAACCTGCCAGAGCCCCGTTTGGTTACTTGCTCTCGCTGGTGGGGTTGTACTTCTGCAAGAATCGGGGGCCATTGGACCATTTTATTTTTAAATCAGAAAAAAAGTGCCTAATGCGGGAATCGAGCCCGGGTTGTACTGGTCGAAAACCAACGGTTTAGAACATCCTTCCACCGACCCCCTTGGCTATTACTGATGGCGTTGAACATGTGAAAAAAATAGGGAAAACATTGAAGAAATTTGTTATTTAAAAACTATTTTTACACCCACACAATGATCAGGATTCTACTCTCCCAAGTTGTTCTCTGGTTATTAAAATATTGATGCTCCCGAGAAGGGATTTGAATGTGATCCAAGATGTCCGTTAAAGAAGACAACGTGGTCTTGACAGCTTTTTAATTAACTTCGACCACTTTTAGAAGATGTTTAAATAAGATCTGAAAGGTCAGTTTTTAAAGACACGCTGTTCTTTACCCATTCCGATATTTGCTTTCATCTAGCGTAGACTTTAAGGAATATTCAAAATGTGGGTATTGTTGACAGCGATGCTCCATCAAGAACAATATCATCTTGAAGAGGTACTGGAACCTCTAGCGTGGCGCCAGGAAGATCTAGCAAAGACTTAATTGACGCTAACAAGCTCCCTCAATTAGCTGGTGACAAAACAAACATGGCGGCTGCTCTAATGGAGTCAAAACATTAATCTTCCCCTTGTAGAAATAACGACCTTGTGCTAAATTGATCTTTCTAACTAAACCTTAATTCAATGGCACACAGATCGATTTAATAATGAATGGATGGAGATAACAATGCTAATATAATGGTAAAAGCTAAAATACAATAAGCAAATACGCAAAAAACTCTTCCGTCGAATCAATAAATGGTCCACTGATGGTTTGTATGCTGATTGTTTACCTAACCTTGTGTTGATTTATTGGGGAAGAACAATGCTTAATGAAGTCATTTATAAATATAGGCGTGTTTTATAGATTTCTCTATCAGACTATGTTCATAGTTTATCTCCCTAAATACAGTTTTGCCATGAATTTCCACAAATTACTCGCTATATAAGCTCAATGCAATAATAAGATTAAGAAAGGAAAAAAAGGGCATCTCTTTATCGCTGAAAGTTGCTGATGGCTTGCGCCATCTATTGGAATAAATATAAACTATTTGTTTAATTTTAATTATTCCAGTATTGGCCCAATTACCCATTCTTGATTAATCAAGAAAAGCTAACCACGTACGCGTTTCGGGCTGTTGGCCCTCGTCAGTGTGGTGCAAGCTGTAATAGTAAGATTGTTCTGGTAGATTCGAATTTACTGATACCGTTGAGTGAATTCACCACTGATATGAGCCTGGATTTCCCAATATCTTTTCTAATTGCAGTTACAACCGTAGGAATATGTTTAAAATTGAATACCGCTAAGTCTTTTCCTTTAAATCTTTGTTTGATTTTTACTTCTCCCAAGTTATACATGTGGTACAATCCATGATAATCATGGTAGATCGTTAGCGGCTGCTTTTACTGTAGGTTGTGCCAAATGGCTACACATGAAGAAATGAGTTTTGCAATGGCGGAATAAGACTACTTCAAGAACCAAGGTCCATTGAATCAATTTTTTCTTCATTAAAAAACTGCATAATACGCAATTCTGTCCCGGGTCGCGTCTGTCAAGAATCGACGGTTTAAACAGCATAACCTTCCTTTAGTGGACACCCCGCTAGCGGACACCTCTCCAAAAAGGACAGTTTTCATTTGCAAAATTACCATTTTTACTAATTTAGCAACACTCGGGAAGAAGACACCTCTCCCTAAAGGACACTTTGGCTCGGCAATTAGATGTCTTTTACAGGGAAGTTATACTGTTTTTCACTTTACCACCAACCCTCTCGGCAAAGATGAATCTGATATAACATAGATATAGCCGTATTCGTATGAAATAAAGCTAACAATGACCTCTAATTGGTTAATGCGCGGACGCTTCAAAGCCATAAACAACACCGTTCAAAGGGACACATGCTATATTAACATATATTTTAGTCTTCTTCTTCTTCCTTATCTCCACTCAATCACATTAGGGTATCAAGTTGTGACCCTTGATGGTGTCTGTTTAATAACCATCATGACTGGGTGAAGTAGGATGCGTCTGCCTTTGTCATTAAAACTGGGAGCACTACTCAGTGGCAGGCCGACTTAGCTCCAAAAGAAATGGCCGCCTCTGACATGAGGAACAGATGCCATGTGCAGCTGCTCCTAACATGGAGTACAAACGCTGCTCATCCTGTATCCATGGATTAGGAGCCCTTACAGGGTACTATCAACCGGGCCAGCTGAACCCAGGTTTTTTAGCGAGCTTGTTACTGCTCCCCCTCCTCCTTTTTAATCCGGGCTTGGGACCGGCAAGGGCGGAGTTCTATATTATAGTAATAGTGTTCAGTTGAGATATATAAATGATCTACTTCAAGCTTATTAGTAAAATATATTTGAAATTCTATTCGTGACATAGGTATATATGGCTGACAGCGGCTGTCATAACTATTCCCATTTAAACTTGCAGCACAATTTATTCGGCAATTCTAAGATTCTAATAAACATACAAATAACAAAGCAACATATGGTCGGGATACACAAACCCTAATGGTTAATTTAACTTAATGGACCATTAGAGGTTTTTTGCTCGTTCCATAATCTTCTCTCAAATTACTAATATACAACATATAATTATAATTAACATATAATTAACGTAGATATATATTATATATATGTTATAAAAATAATGGGATTTTCTGTTAAATTTTGAATAATAGAGTTATATAGAATTATTACTTGATGCTGATTATTTTGAGAATATTGTTGAGCATTTGTTTGATCTTGGAATCCATGAGTATGTTACGATATTGTTTTGTAGTCGTGGCAATAATTAAATAAAATTAGTTATCAAAAATAGCTTTAATTGAACTAAAGGAATATATAAAAAACACAATTTGATAAAGGTACTGAGCCGGCCATCTGGAAACAACAACAATTATTTTTTATAGGGGAAGCGTGACCTCTGGCGGTCGATTTAGAAGAGTATTTGAATCTATGAAATATAATTTCTCTCTCTCTCTCTCTCTCTCAAATAAAAAAATATTTAAATATAAAATATATGTATTACATTTTTAGAATTTCAGGAAATTTTGATTAGCTACTATAAATAATAAATAAAATGGCTTCAAATGATGAGCATCTTGCTTTATTGAAATTTTAAACTATTATAGACGCGTATGATTATTTTAAAATTAAACAATATCTACTGCCCTTACAGCAATGGAAAAAATAAAATTTTGCTTTATATCATATCTCAAGCTTTCGGGTATTACGGACCTTACTACAGGAGTAAATGACTCCTGGCATGTACTCACAAATGTTTGTAATTCTCGAAAGCTTGAGATAATATCATATAGAGAAAGAGATATAAATATCCTCGAAAGCCGTTTTATTTATTATTTATATATTTCAGAAGTTTTTATTTTTATACAATTTGCTTTTATTTATATATAACTTATTATAATTTTTTTTTTCTAAACACGTGTGCACGAGATACTCAAATAACAACTACTGTATTTTGAATACTTTACGCGGTCAAATTGAAATTTTATCACTGATTTGGTTTTGTAACAAAATTTATGGCTAGACTAAGTATAAATAGAATAGTCATTTTATGTATGGCTGTATTTTCAAAATTTTATATTGAATACTTAAAAGATTCTTTCCATCGTTCTAATTTTTTTTTTTCCAATTGAGGAGATAGATTGCCTACTGAATTCTAATCTATTCTGACTGTAATTGAGAGATAAGGTGAATTTTCATTTGATGTGATCTATTGAGTTTATTTCTTCAATCATTGGTTTTAAATCGATAAAGTTTTATTCCGACGAGAGAATGAATAAATTATTTTCTGAATTCTCTTGGTATAGATCTCATTAAATAGTACTTTTTCAAATTATATAGACGTAAAGTTTCAATTGCGTCAAAATTCGTTTATTGAGTTTTAATGAAAAAGAGGTTAGGGATTTCGAAAGTCTTTTTAATTTACATCATTACACGAAATAGGATTAATGATTTGAACTCTATTAGTTAGACTATATATATGAGAACGTATATAGATGGAAATTTCTCTGGGAGAGGATAACGTTCTATAAATTCTGTAAAGATAGACGTCAAAACTAGACACCATCTATTGACCGTTGCCTGCCTTAGAAATTTAAACTTATGGTGTTTAGGACTTATATTCTCTACTTCAGATATGTCCATAAGCAAGAGGGTGAGGTCTGGTGAACATGATGGATAGTCCACAATCCATTATATATCCTATCTATTCGATCTCTTTTGCTGTCATACAGAACTAACTAAAGGTAAATGTATACGAGTCCTAATGGACTTCTATAGGAAACTGGTATTACAATAAATTATATTAATTCTCCTCTGTCGAATGATCTGTCTAGAGAAGGAAGATATTGAAGAGGATTGAAAGGAGAATGGCCATGTCTCGACTTGGTCCATTTGAAACGAGCTTGTAGGAAAAATAGGCCAGGCACTGAAGTCATATGTGAGAATAAGTGGCTTTTTATAGAGACGATGGAAGGATGAACGTGAGCAGGGTGTAAGGGTTCAGATTTTTCAGTGCTGATTCAAGAAATTCAGCTTCAATCCATCTTGTGATACATCAGTAGGCCGGAGTTAAACGTGAAGAAGGTTTTCAGCCGGTGAATAAAAACATTGAGTTGATGGTTCTTCGATATCAAGGGAGAAACTTGATCCAAAAAGGGCTAAATGGCTAGGATAACCAACTGTTTCAAGATCGCCAACGGGTAAATTACGACCCCATGACTATTGTTAGAACAATATATTGTTTAGGATACCCTGCAGGCGATACAAGGGATTACCTCAGAGTTTTCGCTAGGCAGAAATAAGACTTCATTTCAAGATAATCAAAGGACTAGGAAATAACTTGTCTTCAAGGGACCCAGGGGTCCGAGGAGCATCATAAGGACAGACTGCTTGGCATCAGCTCCAGTGAGGGATCATGGTCATCAGAAACGAAATGAGGTTGGCTATTGAGGAAGATGAATTTTGAAAAAAAAATCTTTAAAATGATAATTTTGAAAGAAAATCGTGGCAATGCAATAGAAATTTGTAGTAAATATACCGATCTTTAATAATTCACAATAAAACACACTTAAAGGGCCCTATAGAGATCTCTCACCCTCGCACACCCATACAGCAAAATGCCGCGAAGACACTAAACGTACCCAATATCATCTCCATATTTATAATACAAAATGGAACAAGACCAAACCAAGCCAACCAGTCTCTCAATACTGCTAACTACTGCTGGCAACAAACACAACAGCGGGTACGCCACTAAAAAAACTGAAAAGTAACATCGCAACTACAAAGTACACTAAGCAGAGCCTTAGAAAATATCTTTCTCACGTTCATCTCAGTCAGTAGTCAAAGTATTTCCTTACACAGAGCAATAGTCAATTGTAACAATGGGATCATTCTTGGCTACGCTATTTCTAATCTCTTTTCTCCTTCCAGAATCATTTTATTTTAAAAATAATTCATAAATTTTATTTCCTATTTCTATGAAAAATAGACACTTCGGCCAGTTAGAGTTTTTTATTTTCTCAACGTTTCGACAAAAGATTTTTGTAGTAAATGTAAGTAAATAAAAATAAAGCTTTGGCAAGGCGTTAAAAATTGTTCTAAAAAAATAACAATTTTTAACGCCTTGCCAAATGCTTTATTTTTATTTACTTCTCCCGACGAAGACAAAATATTTTTGCCGAAACGTTGAGAAAATTAAAAAACTCTAACTGGTCGAAATGTCTATCTTTCATAGAAATAGAAATGCCGGCCAGGCTGCCTCTATCTTCAGGATCATAAATTTCAATCACACATTTTCAGAGTATTTTGGATATTGTCTAAAGCATCATTATATCAAACCTAACTCAAATATGTTTATGCTTGAAGAAATCCATAATATTTTGGGCCATTTGAGATGATTATCTGGTTTTTAAAATCAAGACCAAATCGGACTCTAGTCTATAGTTGAGAGAGATCTTCAAGAAAAATACATTGCTTACTGGTCTAATAATATATCAAATAATCTTCAAATTTCTGTTAATATATGGTGCATTAGGTTCAATACCGTGCCAGGATGAAGATGAAGAACCAGATGCATTTTTTTTCGCAATAGAATACTTTTTATTATTACAAGATTTGAAGGAATGAGAATTCAAAACAGCCCGTAAAAATTGTGCAATGTATAGACAAAGTGTTGTTTATATAATGAAATTGTTTGTAGATGGTTTGGGAAGTTCCAACATCGTGATTTTATTATTAAAGATATTGGCATCTCTCCAATGGAAGGAAGCTCTTGCCGAAATGAAAAAGGTTTGTAACGTTCTCAAAATTCTATTTTAGATTTTGCGAAAAACCGTAGAATTTTCTGAATGACCTACTATAAACATAAATATATATTTGTAACAATTAATTTTTCTGGAAATGTGTTTTCTTGTAATTATATCATTAAACATAATATCTACAGACCTTACTGCATTGATAAAAGTTAATGAATCAGAGTGCTTGGCTCATCAGTGGTGAACTTTCTCAACGGTTTAGTCAAATTAACCACTGAGAGGATTCACCACTGATAGGGCAAGCCCTTTCATTCAATAAACTTTATCAATGCAGTAAGTTCTGTAGAGATAATATTTGATGATATAATTAAAAAAGAAAAACATATTGCCAGAAAAATTTAATTGTTACAAATTTTAAGAATAGATGGCAATTGAATTTATAAATTAATATATATTGCCACACACACAAATGTATAAGGTCATATTTCGATCATATTTATATACCTTTTTGATATTCAATTTGACCTTTTGATCATCAATTGAATGTTTGTCTTAAAATAAAGACAATCTTCATTTTTATTACCATGTAATAAGCTCATGATATAAATATTTCTAATACATAGGTCAAAATTGTAATTAGAAAAATAAAAAATCAATTCTGTGTGTTCGTAATTTCGATGTATATTCTCAATGCCCCTTAATATATTTTACTTACAATTTTATTTACATAGAAATTTTATATATACATTCTGTTAATTCTCTCTTTTTTTTTACCTAGCCTATGACGCTTCACCACCAATGTTTTGCTGGTGTTACTTTTCCCCCCTTTATACTACTATATGCTAACTATTTATTTATTACATATATGAAAAACAAACCTCACATGTTTAAACTAAATAACAAATTTTATAAATTTTGAAATTCTCTTAACGGTATTATTATTCTGTTAATTTTATATATTTTCATATTCTCAACACTTTAAATTTAATTTAAAAAATATATAACCAAAAGAAAATACTTTAAAATAAAATTTAAATATTTATAGAATTTTTAAAAAGTTCGTGTGTGGGTTTGTTGAATATTTGATGAACCAAAGAAACCTTTGACAAATAGGAAACAAATATTTGATTTTATTTATAAATAAACTAATACATTGATACGAAGATCGAAAAGTAAATAATTGTAAATATTTACCTCAAAAAATATTCTGATAAGTATTTTTCTTAAAAATATCTTTGATACAAAGTCCTCACGCCTCTATGTCAAGATAATTCTAAGGTCATATATCCAAGGTCATATATATAACTGGCTTATATAACTGACAAGGTCGTTTATAAATGACCTTGAATATCGTAAAAAATATTCTTGTTGCCTTTTTTTTTCGTTACTGTTCTAGGGTTAAAGAACAAAATATGATAGAAAATGAGAAATATTTGATTAGATAAATAGGAAAATTTAATAAAGAATATGATGAGTTTTGTCTTTAAAAAGCATTTCTCTTTGAAAAAAACAAAGTTGTGTAAAGGATTTTTAAAAATCGCACCATTTCGATATATAAAGAATATATATATGTCGTAGCTGTCGTGGTCGAATGGAAGGGCGCAGCCGTTGTGTATGTATGCTTCGAAAAAATAACTTATTCCACACTCGTGAGCGCGCGCGCACGCGGCGGTGTGCCGTAGTGTTCGCCAGCGCACGCTGGCTCCCACGTTTATTTTGTACAGATTTATAGATGGAATAATTTGTATTTACATTTTAACATTCTAATTATGGCAAAAATAAATTATACATATTGGGCATTAGACAAATTATGACATATATTTGAAGTGTGTGTGTTCTTGAAGAACAAACTTCTCTCACTTTGAAATGTTTACTTTGGGAAAATAAGATGTCTACCTTTTTTTGAAGGTTTACAAGTTCATTTGTGACGTTTGATAACCTTAGAAATCCACTAAATGCTGAATGTTCGGCGGTACACATATACTAAAATTGGAACACTAAATGCTGAAGATATATTTATTCCTGTGAAATTTTGGCCATACCGAGTCATGTACATGACGAATGTTCATCATTTCGCCAATCATCTAAGAGTTCAAACATCACCATTTTAAATCAACCGGTAGTATTTTGATATTAAATTGGCGAAACCTCCTGAAGGGTTTTCAACTGATGAACCATGTCCTTGATCGTGTACACGCTTGTTAGGCGGCACATATATGTAAATTAAAATAAAGATTGTAAGATTTTGGGCGAAGGATATTGTGACATCTGACTCTCTTATCTCACGATTCAAGATAATGGCAAATGGCACCGCGGCAGGATGGAATAAGCCAGGGGCAGAACAAAAGGCAACCGAAGCGTGAAGGAATGACCGCGGGCTCAAGAAAGAAAAAAGTTAAAATGAGGAAAGGAGTTCGACAGCAAGGAGTCCTCAGGAAGATCCCGGACACTGCACGGTAGATAACAGCTGTCGGCCTGACCGCGAAGGTGTTCCGGGCTGTCAGAGTGATTGCTCTGTGGGAAGTAAACGAATATGTCGGTGGGCAGCGGATCAGCCTACAAATCGGGGTCGTACAGGTCGGAAGTAGACTGTGTGTGGAGCGGGACGCTTCTTAAGAGTGATATTCACGGCGCCGAGGATCCTTCTGAAGGCGGTAGATAGAAGTAAGTCTCTTATGTTGTATTCCTTACAATTCATATCACTATATATTATTCCCAAATTATAAATGTATTCGTCCACCAATTCATGTTTAGTTTCCCTACCATCTGTGGAATAGACAACGAATACAAACGGCTTCTTGGTACGAGAGACCAACAAAATCTTTCCCGCCAATAAAAAGATACACTCTCCAGAACAACCTACTGTTTTATTTGGGTAAAAACGTCGAGTGGTTATTCTTCGTTCAACTAAGGAAATTGAAACGATTCAGAGAATTTTAGCATACACACGCTCGCACACACAAGCCCACATATAAACACACACACATATATACACACATGCATAGACACATACACGCACGGACACATATACGCACATTCATATATACACACAGGCCTACATATACAAACAAATATACACACACTCACATATATATTCCAACACATATACACACATGCACGCACATACATACGTACACACACACACGTGGCTCAAGGGGGTTCTACACTTACCACTAAGTTCAGGATGAACCTGTGAATACATGTTTTGGTTGACACTATAATGGCGTCGTCATCCAGGTCTTTCCCGAAGAGCCAGCCTTACATGTCGGGTGGAAGCTGGGTGATAGCGGCACTCACCTAATGCTGTGGTGTTAGGACTGATGCCGATATCTCTGGTCTAGGGGAGGCTACGAGTGGTTAGGATAGATCCTGTTCCATGGATCGATATGCTCTAATTCGGTCGAGAAAAGTTTAAAAGAAAGTATTTATAATGGACAGGGGCGGGAGAGATCCACTGGGGCCTATCCATTTCCCGCTCGTGCCAATTTATCACCGTTCCATTATCATCATCATAGATGAAATGAAGAATGATAATTAATCATCGGTCCATTTCCGTCTTTTTAGCTGCGCCCCGGATCAATTAACTACCACTGACCTCTCCGGTGTAAAAAGCTTTTTTAAAAATTTATTTTTACTCGTATCACTCACTCTCCGCTCCCAATCCCCGGTCGTTTAGAATTCCTGAGATGTTTTTGGTGGCTGATTTCTTTTTATCTATTCTTGTTGAAGATTAAGAATTGATTTTTGAAGCTTCTTTCTATATAGATTTTTGTTTGATCTATTTCAACAGATATTGTAGAGATAATATAATTATATTTTAGTTATATAGAAAGATTACATAAAACTAAATTATTATATATATAATTATCATTTGTACGTGTATATAAATTTTTAATTTAAAATATTAATGCTTACTTGAAACAGTAGTAGTTTAGCACTTTGACATTGTTATTCAGCGCTTACGTATCTCTTTGTGTTATCACTCTTTAAGAAATACTACATTAGATATTCTCACATATAGAGTGTGGTCTATTTATCTAAAGCCTTTTCCACACATACACATACGCCCCTACACAATCATACACGCACAGCAAACGCACAACACCCGCACGCTCACTCACACTCACCACACGCACGCACACAGGCATAAAACACACACGCTCACTCACACAAACACGCACGCACAACACACATATAACACACGCACGCTCACTCATACGCATCACACGCACGCCCACTTACACGCACGCACACACGCATACAAAAACGCACGCACAACACAGACACGCATACACACAAACACACATACGTACACACAACGCAAACACCACACACAGACACATAACACACACATACATATATAACTTCTACATATATAATTTCTATAGTTGAGCTGTAGGTAACTTATGGAGTAATCATCCTTTTAAAAATAGCACTTTTAATCTGTCATCAATCTAACCATTGGATAAAGGGACAATTTAGAATAAGCGGTTTGGTCTAGATATTGAATAATTAATATTTGAATATACATGACCATGTATACTTGGGATAATACAAGTCAACGCTCCCTGCACAGTGAACATGTTTTCTATATGTTTAAAAGTGTAGTGATGCACATACAATAAAGGGGTAAATCTTCAACATGATTATCACATGGTCCTGATTATACTTCAGATATTTTAAGTAAATACTGACTAAACAAATACGATTTATATATGTGTAGACATGTGGTGATGTACCTACAGTAAGACCTTAATTTACCTATCATGATTAGAATTTCTCAGTGTACTTAAGATAACAAGTTAATACACTTTGTCCGGCGAACATGTTTTCCACATGTGTAGACATGTGGTGGTGAACTTACAATAAGAGACTAATTCCTCATCAAGATTTTCATGGTCATGATCAGATAACTCAAGTAAATTCTGCCTAACAAAGGTTTTCTACATGTATAGACACGCGGTGATGCATGTACAGTAAGACATTAGCTACCTATCATAGGGGTCGGTAACCTGCGGCTCGCGAGTCACATGCTACTCTTTGGATGTGAAGCTGCGGCTTTTTATATAGTTCCATACGTGAATATTATTTATGCGAGTACCATTTATTGTTGGCAAGAAAACATTTTGTGGCTCTTTAAAAATTTTGTAAATTGTAAGTTTTGACTCTTCCGAATCAAAAGGTTGCCCACCCCTGACCTATCATGATTATAATCTTTACCCCTAGCGAACATGTTTTCTACATGTCTAGATATGTGTTGGTGGACTTGCAATATGAAACTAATTCATCATAAAGATTATCATGGCCATGATCTACACTTCAGATATCTCAAGAAAATGCACGCTCTGACAATCCAACATACGACCTCTCTCCTGCAGCTGGAACAACTCCCAAATTTAAAATGGCATTTTGAAGTTCCAAGCAATTGTCTGCAGAGAGCACTTTTAGAAGAAATGAAAAAAAAATCAATATTTCGAAGACTTCCCGAAATAGTTTTGGCAAACATTCCAGCGGCCTTTTAACACCAGATTTCCACAGCATTTTTGTCCTCCCTCACCCTATTTGGACCTTTTTTTCTTCTTTATAAAACCCTTTCCGCATCACCTACCTTTTACCGCATTCATCCATCACTCTAAAACCGCTTTCTGGAGATTTTATCTTTTTTTTTTCTCCTGAAAACCAGGACACAAACCTACTTCAATTATCCTTCTCTTCACTTATTTATCATCTGCATGCATTACATTTCTGGAGGTACTGGAGAAAAGTTTGACTCAAGCTTTAAAAAAAGCTATTTTAACCTATTGTATAAAATAAGGCTTGAGAAACGGCCTGTTGTGTATGAAAGGAAAAAGGTTTGGGTCCAAAGATTGATTAGTTCGTTTATAATCCAATAAATAGATAATACCATTTTATTGGCCTATAACACTTTACCTTTTTTGTGAGATAGCCTAGCAATAATCATCGTTATAAATTTTGGTTATTTTTATCAAGAAAGAATAAGTTTTCCTCTATTTGAAAGCGCTTTATATAAATAGACAATTTTATTTGATAGTTATACTAGTTTACCTATATGGATTTATGAATAATTTTATTAGGAAAGTGAGAGGAATTTTGGTTGCTGAATTTAAAACATTCTTTTTCTATATAGAATTTGAGATATTTCTTTTCTTAACATGTCATTTTATCGTAGAGGCTGCCTGGCCGGCATTCATATTTCTTGAAAATAAAGATATTTCGGCCAGTAAATCTTTTTATCACCTCGACGTTTCGACAAAACGTTTTGTCGAAATAATAAGATTTACTGGCCGAAATATCTTTATTTTCAAGAAAAATGTCATTTTATATTTTAGCATTTCTCAGTTTTAAACAATCATAATATAATCTATAAAAATGTTTAAAATAATATAGAGAGAGAATAAAGATGCCCCAACTCTTTTTACATGCGTAGTCTTTCGAGGGAAAGCCCTTCTACAGTTAGCTCAGTATGCCTTTTCTGTAATTTGTCGAAATACGCAATCCTGTGATAATGGAAACTAAGGAACTATGACCGTCTGCTTTCTAAAGTGGTTGTTTTCACTGTCACCACTTTCTCTTTGAACGCAGACTCCTCCGCTGTACAGATTCCTTCGTGGCGATGAATGATAGAGGCGTTTCAAATTAGAGCTTTCTGGCTAGGTAATGTGCAGAGCATACTTGGCAATATTGCCACGTGGAAAATTAGGGAAGACAAACTTCATTATGAGACAGCAATTTATTTAAGGTAAGAACAAACTATGAACGATAAAAAAAGATAAGCAACGAGGGAAGTTTACTGAGTAGCAAAATATAAACATAAAAAATGATACACTGTTAATAAAATAATAAATACTTTGTTACATAGCTCCTTCCCTATGGGAGCTGTGACCCACAGCTAGCAATTATTGTAGTTACATGGATCTGACGTGCTTCTGCCAAGAATTCCATCGAAGTCTTGGAACATTGTTCCTAGTACCTTTGCGTCCTTTTTCTTACGGCGTGAAGAACGGCTTTGTCGTCGTATCGTCTTCTATAGGGACATTGTCATCTTGGAAGGAAGTCTTGGTTTTGACACGGCGGTGGAATCCTGGAGCCAGTCTCCGAAAATGTAGATCACAGCACCCATTGCCTCAAGGTCTTCTCGGCGATCTTCAGTTTGTCTTCCATAAGTTACCCAGCATCTCCACCAAAATGCCACGTGGAAAATTGGGGAAGACAAACTTCAGTATAAGACAGAAATTCAATACTTACAATCAAATACTTTGTTACAATATAAAAATAAATTGGGCTCATCAAAATCTTGTTCCTAAATACATTCTGATATTAAAATCGACTAGGTTTTAAATACGATTATTTTATTTCCTACAATAATTATATTCTCGAGACGCGATGTACAAATTATGCTGCTATACAATTTAAGCGCTCATTGCAAAATTAAATGTGATTTGATCCTATATTCGTCCGTCTCAAATATCTTTAAAATATGTAAATCTTTTGAAATATGTATCTAATAATATCTTATCAAAATTATCTCTACAGACCTTACTGTAATGATAAAACTTATTAGATGAAAGGGTTTGTCTCATCACGGGTGAACGCTATTATCTAATAATTTTTTCTATGCAGTAGGGTTGAAGAGATAATAATTGAATATTTATGCACTAAGTCAATTTACATTAGATTTTCATATTTACCATAATTATAAATAATTAAACAGCCCCAAAATGTAGACACAATTCAACGCTCCAGCTTGGCTTTTATGTAATCACAAATAAGATAATAGTGTTTCATTGAGAGTACGCCGCTTCCAAAGCAGGGCAAGGTCCAATTTGGTCAATATTATGTAATTTCTTCCAAGGAAAACTTCTATAAGTCATTAGTGAGTTTTAAGACCACCGCCGGACAACGGCAAACAGGCCGTACAATAACAGATCATTTCTCCCTCTCGTGCAGATCACATCCTTCTGGGCCTTGTCGCGTCTTCGGAGCTTGCTACTTTCCTAGGTATTATCCAACCTGCCTCGTCTTTTGTGTTATCCATAGATGCCTGAAACCTCTTGGCCCCATGACTGCTAGTAATTGTAGTACGTCATATATATATATATTTATTTATTTATCATAATTAACTCTTTCCAAAAAATAATTACATATTTTATAGCGATATAAAAGTAATTGAATTTATAATCCTTATTTATCTTACGTATCCATTCGATAGAGAACTAAATAAATACCAATTATAATACATTTGGGTCTAAATTACAAAACAACATGATTTATTCCTCAACTTCCGCGTGTTGTAATTTATCCAAAACTTATTTTTAAAAAAGGTAAAAAATAAAAAGGTAACCGAGGGTGTGTAAATTAATCCAAAAGTTCATTAAAGGCTTGCGGGATCAGGTTATAAATTGTTCCTCATTCCCTATGCAAACAAGACGCCGTGCAAATTAAGTAAGCAGGTTGACCAATAAAATTTTACGAGCCACAAAAAAAGTCCCCGGGAAGCAGCATGATTTCCTTTTATTCCATGCCTAATTATACGTGTTGAGGGAGTGAAGAGAAAACCTAATTATGTAACTTGGAGAATATTTAATTATTCTTTTTTTGGCTCCTTGAGATTTAGAAAAATTTCCCCTCTCTTTTATGATGAAATAATTAAAATTTGTGATTTTTGAGTTTGGTACTCTTTAGATGTGTTTGGTGTTACGAACTTATGTATACTTTCAAGGCTATTACGAATATTGTTGCATCTTAATTAATGCGCGTATTTTAAAAATTATTTATAATATTATTTTTAATATATTTAAAATTTAATTTATATATTTATTTATTTTGATTTAACACAGATTATTTAGAGAGAGAGATTATCATTATTCCTTTTTATAGTTTCAATCCTTTTGTAATATTTTATTGTACATATATCTTGATTGCTTATTGGAGGGAGAGAGGACCTAGACCAAGACTGCGGATCACGACCTACGAGGAAGACAAGAATAAATAAACGCAATAACTTTAAAAGTTAATTTTTTAAATTTAATTTTATTTATTTTCTTTGAGTATGGAAACCCGCTCGGGAAACGTGTATAACACCAAGAAGGAAGAAACCAAGGTCGACGATCCTGTAAAGCTGCAACTTGGTGTAACAATATGAATAACAGATATTAAATTCTATAGAGTCAATGTTTTTCGGGAATTTGCTTATAAATACTGCGCAGAAAAAGGGTTTATTATTTAGTAATACACAAAAATTCTTTCGATAAAATCTCTTCAATAGGTTAGTGTTAGTCATATAGCTATGGCTTGATAAAGCTTGCTTCACGAAAGCTCTTGTGTCTTTGTATTATTAAATGAGAAAACCTTCAATTTAGGTGAACACATCAGACTTTTCCAGGGATAAGTTTGTTTTAACTGCCAAGAAAATAACTAATCTTATAGCCCTGTGAAAAAAATAGTAAAAAAGTGAAAATGTACTTGGATCAGTTGGATAAATTAAGAAAAATGCATCCCCTGATCGTGATACTCAAAGTTGCTGGTGGCCTGCGCCATCTGTCGAAATAAATATGAGTAGGGTAGCCTAGTGGACATGGCATCTGCCCGGTAAGCGGAACACTGTGGGTTCGATTCCCATTCCTGGACACTTTATTTTTCTGTTTATCATTACTCTTCACAATTCATCATATCATACTTCATCCCTAAGGTTAGAAATAATCGTTTTTTTTCCTTAAAATAAATTTAGATTTTCGTTCAAAGGTTTGCGATATAATTGCCAAATTCCGTTCTACAGAAATATGTTAATCGTTGATTTTCAATTATTAATAATTAGAATAATGTTCTGAGTTTCACAATCAGGAGCTACTTTTTTCTTAATTATAACCCTGTGTTTTAAAATTAGTGTCCCGACATATGTATCAGAAATCTATGAACAGATTTCGACCTCAGTCGCCAAAATTGTCATACGTCGTATGAATATTTGGATAACATACCTGTTCCCATTAGATATACCTATGCCGCATATGATGATATGTTTTGCACATTTGTTACTAAAATATATCAAACCAAGATCTTTTCTCGAAGCCTAATGTTTTCACTTTGATATTGGGGATCCTTTTGCTCATTGTTTAAATCAATGTCCATATACACAAAGAACAGATAGTAAATTCAGAGGAAACAAAAACGATCATATTTAAAATCATAATTATAAATGATCATATATTTTTGGACGCTTTTATTTTATTTTTCCGTTTATCATTACTCTTCACAATTCATCCTTTCACGCTTCATCCCTAGGGTTAGATATAATCGTTATTTCTCCTTTAAATAAATTTCGATTTTTTGTTCAAAAGAAACACATGCGGGATAATTTTTAAATGTGGTTCTACAATCATAAGCTGCATTATAGCATTATATTGTATTATAAATATATTTCTCTCTTATAGGATTCCATGAAGAATTATTATAAGGATTTGTAAGCTCGTAGAGTATAACATTCTTCACATTGAGTTCATAGATAGAGTTGTTTTATCTGTTTAATATATTTTAGGAAACTATTAGCTAGAAAAGAGAGGTAACCACAACATTTTGAAACAGTAATGGAATATGTTAACTATTAACTCAATCAATTTACTAACGAAACTGGTAAATTGGAGCAAGAAGAGACTACAAGAGTGAATGTCACACACCAAGTGCCGGCCTAATTACATCACACGTTGCCATGGAAATTCTATGGCGCTCTGATAACACGCTTCTCTCTCTCTCTCCTTTACAATTAGGTCTCTCCGCCGTGTGTGCGGACATAGATTATTCATATCTAATGTCAGGTATCTGCCATTCCATTTCATTGGGTTCATTCACTCTCCTTGTATGTAATATAGTTGCTGATACGTGTATATTTATATCTTTGTGTGGGGGAATATAGGCAGATAAATATAGAATTTAACTTTATTATCGGTATAAAAGATAAACAGCTAAATGCAAATTTACAGCGATACGGTAGATTAAAATGGAGAAACCTCTAGGAGAGTTCACTGCTGATGCGGGGCCTTATATGTTTTTATTTTTATTATTTGTCAAAATCCGCAATCCTATAACAATGAATAAAACCCCGATATCATCTTAATAAAAGAACTTACAAGATACTTCTCATGGCCAGAACTAAACATCATTACATTTTTTATTCCAGGAACCACAAAACTCTCAGAAATTCGGATAAACTCCTATCTTTCTTCCATTAACATGGCAACTCCAGACTTGAGTTCACTACAGATGAGCCAGGCTCTCCTATTATTTTATCATGACAGTAAGGGCAGTAGAAAACTGCTTATTTATAAAGAAACGCATCAAAAATAGTACAATTTTTATTAGATATCTGTGTGTACCCAAAGAGACACCTCTCCCTAACGAGAAAACATAATGATGTTGACGAAGAATGCTCCACAACACCAGTTTAAGCAAATTCAGACAAA